GAACAAAAGGTAATTCTTGAAAAAGACATCGCAGAGAAGCAGACGTTTGAATGAATTATTTCATCACAATACCAATACGTGATAATTGTCGGTAAATTTCAATTGCTGGTAACAGGAACTTGTCATCATGCAGAGAGTGATAAATGATATTTGAAAACAGATTTTCGTCTTCATCTTTAAAAGGAAAACGAGAAATTTTTTTTTATCCTTTTCTTTAGCGATATGTTAATCGCAGACTTCTCAGTTCGAACAGCGAAGAATGTATATTGATTTGTCTCGATAAACACCAAAGCTTATAAAGAAAGAAAGTTTGTTATAATCGAATAGAAGTACGGTTGTTATGCCCTGCTTTGTTCACAGTAAAAAGCAAGCTTTTAACTTTCCCTATTACGGAAACTGGGGTTTTATCGTACGTGGGGTCGTTTTGTGACCAAATGGGTCATCGTCAACAGTTTATTTAGGTCCTGGAGAAACGTCCTAAAACACATTACGAAATTACAATAACTGCAAGGGCTAATTTTATTTCATACCACAGAAACCGTTCCACCGAAGCAATATGATCTCACACCCAGTGAATGTTTCTTGATTGTGTAAAACGTTACTACCTGGCCACTTGTGGTGAACAATCGTTACATAAATAAATTACCCTAGGAATAATGTGGGCAGGAATATTGTGAGTGTATCAGGTGTGAAATTTGTGCTAATAAGAAATTTGTTCAGAGCACACTCGACACGAGTCCTCTTAACAAGAACTTCACTACCACTGTGAAACGGAAAGGTTCTCATCCGCAATGCAGGCTAACGGGGGGCGAATTGTTGTAAACCCATCTTTTCAAGAGTGGGTTTACTTGGATGAAAAATCTCCCCATGGTTTACAAACTCCAATGAAAAGGCAAGTTACGTATTGTGTAGAGGAGGAAATTGGTCCAAAAGAATTCGAAATTAAAGACGATCCGTGGAAACAACACAATTACAAAAGTAAAGTTGACTTTGTTGGGGCGAAATCAAATGGACGATGCTGTCGAGCAGCAATACTGATGTCCATAATCATTGGGTCATTGATGTCGATCGCTGCATTAGCGCTGGTTCTGCTGATGTTGTTTGGGAAAGTAGGAGCAGGTTGTGGGTGTCAGTCATCAAGTGAAGGTTAGAATATGGATAAAGATCTAATTTGAGAGTGTCAACATAT